CGCCAACGGGGAGATCCAGACTGAGACTAGATATATCAACACGAAGGCCCTCCTTGAGCGTCAGACCGAGGCATAGGCTCATCGTTTCTTAGGTAGCGAGCAGCTTCCTCAAACCACTTTATTTTGTTTTGAGCTCCCATATTGACTTTGCTTTTTTTGTGTTTTATTTGTAGGTGCTATGGGTTTTATGGAGGAACGTGTCACAAAGCTACTCAAAGGAGGTGGTCGACGTCCTGCGGGGATGGTCGCTATTGTTCGAAATAAGGCCGGTGCTGGACCGGTAAGGTCGACTCCGTCCCTCCAAGGTAGCGGATCCCCGATCGCCCAGTCAATCCTCAAGAGGCGTCGAGAGTCTGAGACGTCCCCGATCGACCTGATGGATAACTCTCCTAATCGTCGTTTCATCCTTCCCCCTGCTGTCTAAGACCTAACTATTTTACCTGGGATAACGTCTCCGTCGTGGGTCTCGAAGAAACCAAAACCATTTTGGCTTCTAGCAAGAAGGCCCGGAGGAAGATGTTATCAAACGACATGGCCTCGTGTTTGAAATGGCTCTCGCACTTAATGAGGAGGCTTGTTCCTCGGCAGACTTGGAAACAATACGGAATGAACTGGCAGTTTCTGAGGAGGTTAGGTCTAAGTTGGTTTCCGACCATAAAGAATATCAGAAGCAGGATAAGACCCAGCGCGAGCGGATCAAGGAGCTAGAAAAGACGGTGAAGGATGGGGATGACGAGCTGACTCGGCTGAAGAGGAGGGTCGCTGAACTCGAGGGCCTGCTGGCTCCCATCGAGGAAGATTCCAATAAGGAGAAGCTACTAGTTTCCCGATGTGAGTTGGTGGAAAAGATCCGGTTGTTGGAGGATGAGTGCCTAGGAGCCTTCGAGGTGGGTTTTAAGAACGTTGTGGCCCAGCTTTGACTCACGAACCCCGACGTGGATTTGGTGACTGCAAGGATAAGCCCCTACCATCAAGTCCAAGGCGATCGCATTGTGGTGCCCGGCGGACTAGACGGTAAAGAGGAGCGGCCTTCCGAGGGGGACCAGCCCGATATAGAAGAATAGGATCACGCTGAAGATTAGGAGTTTGTGTGGCCTGCGTGTCCGTTTTTTGTCGGCATGCGTGCCGTGTAATAATTTTTTAATGTTGTTTGGGCCTTGTGCCCCTTATTGTGATTTCCGAACAGCTGGGCTCGTGCCCATGATTTTATAACAATGTTTATTGTTTTTCATTAAGTATTTGTGTGTGCTTGTTTATTTGTTTATGCATGTCCGTTTGCATGGATTTTCATATGCTTGTTTGCATGTATTTATATATTGTTGTTTGTAGGAGTGGTAGCTCGACGTTATCTGTTGTGCCCGGCAATGTAGGGAACTGGTCGGATGACCGGGGTTTTTACCTGATCGGTTATAAAGTGGGGGCCGCGATCGCGACCTTCTCTCTACGGTGTGAACATCCCATCGTGAGATGGGCATTTTTCCATCTTGGTATGACAACGCTAGAGCTCGATTAAGGGGTCCCCGTCGGACAGAGCGTTCATCCCGCACACACAAAGGGCAGACGCTTGTCATCTTGTTAATTTTTAAGAGAGGCGTTTGTACCAGGTCGCGCTCCCGTGGTCACGAGGCTGATCATTGCGGGCAGTGTTTAACTATAGTATCTTTTGAGCTTCTTAACGTTCCACGGTCGAGCAATTTCCTCCCCGTGTATGTTTTCGAGGTAGTAGGCCCAGTGTTTCATCTTATCCCGGACACGGTAAGGGTCTTCCCAATTTGCAGCGAGCTTTCCCTCGCGCGAGTCCTTCTAGTTTCTTTGCAAGACTAGGTTGCCGACCTGAAACTCACGTTTTATGACTATGCTGTCATAGCGAAGGGAAATTTTATGCTTTAGTGCGGCTTCGTGGAGAGCTTCCCCTGAACAGATCTCTTCGACTAGGTCGAGCTCATCTCTTAGGGCCTCGTCGTTGGCCTCCTCCTCGAGGAGGGACTCATTTCTTCTAGACGACTCCATTATTTCTACCGGGATCAGCACTTTGGTCCCGTAGGTTAGTCGGAAAGTGGTCTCTCTGATGGTCGAGTGAGGTGTCATTTTGTAAGCCCAGAGTACACTGTGGAGCTCCTCGACCCATCTCTTCTTGGTGTCCCCAAGCCTTCGTTTCAGGCCCCGCAGGATAACTCTGTTTGCGGCCTCTGCCTGGTCGTTCGTTTACGGGTGCTCGACTGACGTGAAATGATATTTTGTTCCGAGCTTGGTCACAAATTTTTGGAAATTTTCGTCAGTGAACTGCGTCCTATTGTCGGTCACGATGTCCAGGGGAACGCCGAATCGAGAGAGAATATTCCTCTTGTAGAAGCGGAGTATGTTGTGTGTCGTGATTTTGGCGAAGGCCTCGGCTTCGATCCATTTGGTATCTTGATACTCGTAAGATAATTGGATACATTTTACCTCTTAGTAGGCATTTTTTACCTTTATGATTCACCAAATCTATTTATAATCTTACACTATGATCAAATGGATTCCCTCCTTAGTTATGAAAATATTTAGTATTTATCACTATTTCAACATCAACATATGTCATCTATGACTTTCTTCCAACAAGCGTGTGGTTTCCAGAGGAGCATTGACTGCTTCATAGGGGACTCACCTCATCATTTTCATCTTATTCATTATCATCACTAATTGTCATCAAAAGTTGTATCAACGACTGTTGAAGGAAAATCGCGATCCAAAATGCAGTGGAAATTTAAAATTTCCCTTTAGTGATCCTTACAAATGAGCATGATCAGTGATAGAAACAACTATCCCTTGTGGTGATAAAACCTTTGACAAGGAATCGAATGAGTGATCACGAGCGTTAAATAATGAATAATGCATCTACTCAGTACACACTAACAGATTCCTTTAGTCTCAGTGCTAGCTGATACGATTGAAGGCTTTGAGTGAGAGAGAGAAGGAAAATACAGTTAGGATTTCACTGACCAAACTTTCATCAAATGTGAATTCTTCTGCACAAGGGTTCTATTTATAGAACCACTTGTGTGGGTTGCAAACTAAAAAGCCCACCAAGTGCACGCACACCATATCTTATGGTGTACCGTATATCACTTAAGCGCGTGGTACCTTACTATATTCAGTAACTACTAAAGTGAATCGTACCTTATGTTGTTCTACATTTAATTAAGTGCAAATACCTTACGATATTCCTTATTTACTATACTCTTATCAATCTGTTCTTATGTGTGTAATCCTGTAGGTTTTTACGACGTTGACAATTATATTAAATCACACATTTAACATAATAAATTGTGAGCGGTATCTAACAACACATCACTGCTACCCAAGTCACGAAAATCTCATGTGATCTGACAAAACCTTTTGTGATAATACTTGTGTGTACAATTACTCTTTTACCCTTAGGTCTACATTGAACACAAGGTATATGCCGTGTCATCCTTGTCCAGTTCAATATTTGACCCTTAGACATTTATCTTGTTATGCAGGATGGAAAAATTCCATCTAACTCACTCATGTCCCTCAACATGCTTTGTAGAGTACCCACAACTGTCTTTATGATCATCCAATTACGGATAATGTTTGATCAGCAATAAATTACTTGACTATATATCTATGGTCCATAGTGGTTTCAGGTCGAAAGGTGATATACACCACTATCACCATGAGAGTAACTTATGACAATTTGCATAACATTCTATGTAGTACTCTCATAGCGGGTCAATCCAGTATAAATATTACTCATAATATTCATACATATGTTAAGACTTGATAACTCCTTATCCATGATCCATGAGATGTGATCATCAATCTATCTACATAATAGTCTTAATGCTTTAAGGTTATCCCACTTCACAGTAAAGCTCGACTACAAATACTTTAAGAATAATGTCCTTATATTTAATGGGATCTCATGATTAAGTCACACTTAATATTTCATTAAACAATTAGCTATTTTAAGGACTTTATTATTTTGAAAAAACAAACATAAAGAAATGTCTTTTATTAATAAATAATTTGATACAAGTACCAAAAATATTGGCCTATACGGTTTACACCAACAATCCAGCTACTCATTAATAACATTATAACTCAATAACTATGGTTTGGGTCGGGCGATCTCATGGCCAATGTCATGTCTGCCCGATTTGTCCTCTGTCTTCTTACAATATTTATGGACTAATTGAGTTATGTATCGATTTCTTCCATGACCTAACTAAAATTACTCTTTACTCACACACGAACATCATGACGAATTGATTTATGTGAATATTTTTATTAAAACCGTCACATGTATTTTTTTATTAAAATAAAACTAAACAAATATAATATAATTAAATACCAATAAAAATTAACTTTATATATATATATATATATATATATATATATATATATATATATATATATATATATATATATATATATATATATATATATATATATATATATATATATATATATATATATATATATATATATATATATATATATATATATATATATATATATATATATATATATATATATATATATATATATATATATATATATATATACACACGTGTGTATGGATGTGTGTTTCATGACCTAGATTTTTTATGCCAGTCAACTATTCCCTAGATTACTTCGCCGAAAGAACCTGAGGACGGAAATTCAGCATACAAACTAGATCTCAAAATATCTCCATATATGCTTTCTCATAAACCTTCCTGGAAACTCACATGTATTTTCCACACTCTTTACCCTTCAACTTTATCCTAAAACCCTTCCAAGTCAGTCAAGTATTCCTAGAAAATATTCCATAGATTCCTTCGCAGAAAGAACCGGAGGATCGAAATTCAGCATACAAACAAGATCTTAAAATACCTTCCTGGAAATTCACATGTATTTCTACACTCTTTCGAAGCCTATATTGATAATAGAGACTTAGCATCAAAACCATATAGATACATCCAAAATCAACTTCCAAAAAGATCACAACAAAATCTATGAACTCTTCAGCCATGGATCAAATAGTAGATTGGTCTCAACTCCCCATAGAGCTATGGCCAATGATAGGAAAATATCTTGATAATCACATAGATGTCCTCAGATTTCGCAGTGTTTGCGAATCATTTCGTTCTTCCATCCCTCCTTCTCTTCCAAATTCTCCTTCTTTTCCATTACAAATACCTCACCCCATCCACATCTCCCTAATCACTCACCTCAACCAATCAACCATTTATCTTATTGAACCAACTGATGCAAGTTTCAACTCCAACTCACCATCTTCATCTTCCAAAGGTTGGTTGATTAAGGTACAAGAATCAAAGAACCAACCCTTGAGTTTGTTGAGTCCTATCTCTGACCGAAACTTTTCCTACCCTCCAAGCAGTGACAGTACTTCTCTTATGCCATTGAACTTGTTAAGATATAGAGTCATTGAAATATGCAAATCATATACAATTGAAAACATTACACGTTTTGCAAGTTCTGTTCGCAAAGTTGTGTTCTATCCTAACTCTCCTTGGACTAATGTTGAAGATTGTGTTTCATTTTGTATCTTTCAAGAAGGTAAATTAGGATTCCTGAAGCATGGCGATGAAAAATGGAAACTTGTGGATGACAAAAATTTCTACTACGATGATGTTATTGTTTTCAAGGGTCAGTTTTATGTTACTGATAAATGGGGAACTATTTCATGGATTGATGTTTCTTCCTTGAAGTTGATACAATTTTCGCCTCCTTTGTGTGGCTTGGGAAACAAGAAACATTTGGTGGAATCTTGTGGGAGTCTTTATGTTGTTGATAGATACCATGAAAGTAGTGAAAACATGAGAAGAAACTATGCTGGAAGACAGCGCAATCGAGATGAAATCGTGGAATGTTTCAAAATTTATAAGTTGGATGAAGAATGGGGAACATGGGTTGATGTGAAAAACTTAAGAGATAGAGCTTTCATTTTGAGCAAAGGTTGTAACTTTTCGGTTTCGACTAAGGAACTAATTGGATATGAAGGGAACCGCGTCTACTATAGGGATCATTTTGATGTTCGTATGTATAACTTGGATGATCATAGAATAACTATGGTTAATTTTAATCCTTGCATTGACAACATTTTGTGGTCTCATTCACCTTGGCTGAGATCTTGGTTCAAAGCATAGGGAATAGTTGTGTTTGGGAATTAGATGTTTTATGAATCATGTATCATTCCTTATATGTGCTTTGTCATTCCAAGAGCTAAAGAAGCTCATAATGTAGAACAAGTATTTTCTAAGAGATCATTGTTATGCTACAAGTATATAATAAGATTGAACTAAAATTTGTAGTTTGAGGATACAAGACTATCTACCTGTTTTCTGTTAGATTTTGTGTTGGGGTGTGTTTTTGGGTTGGTTTATGTTGCAAAACATAAACAAAAAGAAGATGATGAAGCCGGTACTGACGAAAATTGCACAAAATAATTCTAAAACGTATGATTACACTAAACTTTAGGTTCAATTCGTCTCCACCAATTTATACAAATTGGATACAAAAGGGTTAACTGAGGGTTAACCGGCGAATCCCCGAATCCCCTTCAGGATACTTTAGAAACCTTAACATGAATCTCGCACATTTACATTAAACTTCAGGATACTTTAGAAACCTTAACATGAATCTCGCACATTTACATTAAACTTATCAATCAACGATATTTTACAGAATAAATGTCTCATTTATTCTCGTACAAGTGATTTTTGTGTAGATTTTATGTCTAACAATTATCTCTAGGAAAACTTTTACCAGAGGACACTACATGATTTAGTGACGTGTTAATCACGTGGGAAAAAATACGTTGTCAAGTGATTCCTACGTCACTAAACTATTTAAATAATTTAATCTGCCACCAAAAATTGAAATTTTTAAAAAATTCTGTTGTGGAGTATAAAATAACGTGGGAACTGAAAATTCAAAAAAGTCCTTTTATTTCCCACATGAGTGACATGTCACAAATTATCCACATGACATGCACGTCCCAACCCAACGAATATATATTAATTTGGGGGAAGGTCCTGACTTCCTTCATGCTTTCTTCCTTCTTCCCCAATTCTCTTCATTCTTCCATTACCATTACTGCCTCCCTCACAACTCCATTTTTAACAAAAATTTCACAAAAAATTTAAGGTGATTGGTATATATATGTTTTTTTTTTTAATGTTTTACCGTTTATTTTATGTTTATCTTATTATTAATTGTTGATTTTTTTTTTCAAATCTAAAATTTAAGAAGTTCAATTGGAAACTTTGATAGAGTTAACACATTGAGGTATTTATGCATTTCAATTTGTTTATTTTTGAGATTTTGGTGATATATGAAATATTATTTTAGAATATTGATTAGAAAATTTTAGATTTTTTGTTGATATTTTATTGTGTTGTGTTGTTGTTGATATATTATTTTGTTGATATATTATAAAATTTTAGATTTTACAATATTGTGTTGTTGATATAGTTTTGAGATTTTTTGTTTATTGTGTTGTTGTTGTTGAAAGCAAAAAATTCAAAATAATTTGTAGTAGAATATAAATTTTTAGAATATATATATTTCGAATTAAAAACATAATAATATATATAAATAGAATATTTATTAGAAACAAATTAAATATGTAATATATTTTTAATTTTTATAAACAGAATATTTATTATATTAGAAAAAGTAGAATTTTTAAAAATATTTTTAGTAAACAATATTGTAAATAGAAAAAATTAAAAGATATTTTTTACAAAACATAAAGAATATGTATTATATTTAAAATGTGTTATTTTTAAATGTATTATTTTTTCAAAAAGTATGTTTATTAAAAAATAATGAATATGTATTAAATATATTTTAAATGTGTTATTTTTAGTAAACCAATTATATATATTATAGAATATTATATTATTGAGTAGTTATTATATTTTAGTAAACATAATATATATTATTTTAGAAAAATAAATTTTTAAAAATAATGAAAATATAGTATATGTTAAATATGTTATTAATGTATATTAGTTTTAATGTATATTATTTTAAAAATAATGAAAAACATGTTTATATATTTTTAATGTATATTATTTTAATTAAAAATTATTTAAATTAAAATAATGAAAATATAGTATATGTTAAATATTATTTTAATTAAAATAATGAAAATATAGTATATGTTAAATATGTTATTAATGTATATTATTTTTAATGTATATTATTTTAAAAATAATGAAAAACATATTTATATATTTTTAGTGTATATTATTTTAATTAAAAAAATATTTTAATTTTAAATTTTATATTTAATATTTAATATTTATTTTAATTTTATAGTTGTTTTTAGTTAATATTTTTTATTATTATTAAATTTCATAGTGAAGTGCATCCCATGTCACTAATTAGTGACGTGAGAGTCACATGGGAAAAAAATTAATTAGTGACTTGGTTTTCACGTGGGAACTTTTTCTCTTTTTTTTGTTATTTACGACGTGGGATCTATGTCACAACTTTGTGACCTGTTTTCCACGTGAGAAAAAGTTCCCACCATTGCATTTCCGACGTGTTTTACCCACGTCGCAAATGTTGATCAGTGAAGTGATTTTTAGGTTAGTGACGTGGGAATCACTTGGAAAAATGCAATGTTTCTTGTGTAGTGGGAGAAACAATGTTTCAATGGTTTAAATATGGCTATTCGCGAACCATTATATATCAATAATAGCAAACTATTTCATGAAAAGTTGTCTTGGTCTAGTGGTGGCACCTTATGACCATGTGCCCTATCACAATAAGGTTTTTGGTTTGATTTTAGACAGTTGTAACTTTTGGCCATTTATTTTGTTAATTTAAAATCATTATTATTTTGAAATTTAATATTTTGAAATTTTCTCCAACAATTTCCCACCATTTTCAAAATATATCTAAATCCTTTATTGAGGAAATTTTATGGTTTTAGATAAAGCCATCTTACGATTTAAAGTAATACTTAGTAAGTTAAGTTTTCACTCATCCCCGAATAGATTGGTAGACAAGCTTTGAATCAATTATTTATTGGAACAAGCATACATAACTCACACATAAAATCTTGGTACCATTGATCGAATTATTAATATGACACATTTAGTAAGGTCTTGTGTCTCATATCATTTTTATGAGAATTTAAGAGTCAAGCCTTTGAACTCTATGAAGCGGCAACATTTCATTCTCATATAGGTAAACTATATCAGAAATGCACCCATAGTTATGCATTTCAGCAAACATATGATATATGTCTATTAAGAGGAAAACCTCATCCTACCACACTTATTCTTATGGTCCAAGTACTTTTACCCTTTTAGATGCATCTATCATTAAGTATTTCAATCACTCTAATAGTGTACTTTCATCATTGAACTCAAGACTTAACAGTAATCAAGTGTGAGTCGAGTTTCCACTATTGATGATTAATTAGATACGGACTTGTTCCACATCCCTAATGATGTCTTCGTTGTATTCAATTATATCCAAAGACATCATATCTTTGCCAATTCTTTCGTCAAAGAATTGCAAGATTTTTTCAAACTTTAATAAATTCCGAATATTCAATTTTTCAACTAATCATACATATGATTACTTTATGTACTCTTGATAGTATTTGACATCCATCATCAAATCATAACACTTTTGTCATATTAGTACAATTTCCATATACAACATATGTTATATATTCTTGATAGTTTCGATAAACTATCTTCATTACACTTTTGTCATTTATTTTGTCATATACACAAATTTTATGTCATTTTTCATTTTCTAACCTTTTTAATTTGAAGTTTTACTTCCACTTAAATATATTCGAAACATATTTAATTCATTAAACATTTATAGCAATCGTCAACCACGATCAAACTAATTTGTCATGACTAACTTTTATTTCATGAAGTGAATTCAAATATGTAATTCATAAACTCCATATAAATACAACACCATGTGATAAATTTATGTTTCATATTTAAAAATGTTTATGATATATCCAAATAAAAATCACAAAATGAACAATAAACCAACATCACTAATATTTCTTGTAACGTTTCTCGATGAACACTTATCAACTTACAACAAGATAAAATATATTCAAATTACTTTTAATATCAAGATAAATAAGAAATAGTACTTTCATATTATGATACACATATAATATGAGATAAATCATTTTAATTTTAAAATTCTGGCATAAACAACAATATAATTGAAACATGTTCTTGATATTTTTAACATGTTATTTACACCATTTTATGTTATTAATAAATTTACCATATATTCAAATTTATGGTTTTAATTTCTTTTAATTATTACCAAATAATCTCATCTAGAAATAATGCATTATTAATTAAAATAAATTATTTGCACCAAAGAAAAATATTTAACATATATTTTATATTCAAGTATACACCATAAACCAAACATATTCTTAATTATTCATATTCACATACTTGAATAATTTATAAATCATGCATATATAAATTTATTCCATATGTTAAACTTAACATAAATAAATATTATTTTCAACATATTTTACATGAATTTAAATTATCATATAAATGAAATATTTATTTAATATGATTATGTACCTTTTACCATATTGATGAATAAGAAAGCACGAACGTTCATTTCTCTGCTGTAGTTACAAATTAACCACGGACAAATAGATCCATAAATCAAAATTCCATAATTTTAAAAATTATATGAATTAACTGTATACCTTTCACTAACATTGAAAATTGTTACCATCTTCTTTAAAATTGCATACTTTAATATTAATTATAAATAAAATATGGATCAAAATCAAAAGTCGAACCTAAAGATTGTTAGATCTTGTGTTGGGGTCTGCTGCAAAACATGAACAAGAAGAAGATGATGAAGACGGTATGATGAAAGTTGCACAAAATAACTCTAAAGTGTGTGTTTACACTAAGCTTTAGGTTCAACTCGCCCCCACCAATTTATGCAAATTGGATGCAAAAGGGTTAACTAGCGAATCCCCTTTAGGATACTTTGGAAACCTTAACATGAATCACACATTCACATTAAGCATATCTGTTGTAGTGAGAATTGGATATCAAGCTATTGATTAACTTGAATCGCAAGTCATTATTCACCACCGTTCTTTAATTTGTCC